CTCCTAAAATCAGAACACGGTTGAACAGGAAATAGAGATTATATTCCAATAACAAAGGTTAAATGGAAGACAGAATTTACAAAGGAAAAAGATGTTAGTATATTTATAGTTTTCTTACATGAGAAGATTCTAGAATGTTCCCTCAGTATTGACTAGCGCTGATTGGATACGAAAGAGCTAATCAGCGTGCAGCAACGCAATCATGCTTTACTCCAATCTATGTATACTAACACAAATGTTTATATACCTTTTGTCATAAGCTCTCGACTGATTGTATGATTTATTATTCCCAATCTATTACTAGTTTATTGCTTACAGTCTCCTATATTTAACGCTACTTTTGGCTGGCTCACAAATAAATGTATTTTCTCACTCTATTGTATGATGTAGTCTGGTATATTTTGTATATAAACTATTTCCGCTTGAAATATAACAAATTTTGTGAAGACCTGACTATAAGAGCTTCTTCACTAAGCAGCAGGATAGAAAGAAATAAGCTATCCCAGTTGTAGATCAACAAGGATTTACAGTTGACTCAAACTTCTTTTTTGAAACTAACGTGTAATTCTGATTGGTGTTTTGTAATTGGTCACGTGACATACAAACAAACAAACAAACAAAAAAAATACTGTGAAAAAAAAAGATTATTTACCATTTTCATTTGCTTCAATCTGACAATAGCAGATGATAAGCAACGACGTTTTCTCGACGACAACGATGATGAGGATGTTGATGATGACGCTTCAGCTGAAAGTTTGAATTAAATAAATAATTATGTTTTCAGTTTGATTGTATGAAAGTAAGAAAATAATCTTTTTTTCTAGGTTACATTTGTTTTTCACGGGAATCAAATGTGAAATGAGTTTAAAAACACTATTTCATAATTGGTTTAAATCAATCCTAACCTATAATTTGAATTTAGCAACTTGACTGTATAATTTGCACAAAATCAAGTACATGGAATTATAATTCGTAACCAGAATGTAATATATTATTAATTATTTTGAGGAATTTATGAACAAATAAACGAAAAGAATAACGATAATCAATCGATGATATGCAATCATATCATATAGTCAAATGATAACTGGACCACTACCGAGCACAATCAATCAATCAATCAATCAACAGCAACGTAGAACTTCGTACGTACATAAATCAGTTCAATTTGCCATACTACACTGGCACAGAGATGCAATTGTCGATTCAAATCCCATAGTAGTAGAGGTAGCAGAAGTAGTGGCAGTAATCGGAGAGATTAGGGTTCGAGGATATTATTCAAGAAGTAGAATCTAGTAAAAGAAAATTAATACAAAAAGACAAAGTAATGAAGAACTCTGAAGTTTAGGATTTGAGAGAACACAAAGAGTGAATGTACCTGTGCCATCGCAAATGGTTTCGAGCCGTTTCATTCAGAGTCTCTAACCATCGATTACTATAATCACGCAGACGCCCAACTAGATAGTCGACACTTACCGACATGGCTAAGTCCTCTTGTCAGTGACTTCATGGATTTATGCCATATTTTGGTTTGGCCGCCCCTAGTTTTTTTTTTCCAACCTTATTCCTACATCACAAAACATAACTGGACGAAGCAGTCAGGTGGTTAGGCATACGCAACACACTATCGAGAACTATTAACTTTTGATACACACTAACAACATAATTAAATTGATATTGAAAGATAAAACTATTTTTAGTCGGAAGAATGGAGTTCCATATTTAAAATTACTTTTTTATCATAAAAAATATTACGTCCATTAAAATGAACATTAGATTAAAAGTTAAACAATAGAACATGTGGGAGATATGGATTTTGTAGGTTGATCAAAATAAGAATTAACTTCATATTTTCACGATAAATCATACACATTATTATTATTATTCCAACTGAGCAAGTACCTCAGTAAACATGATTTTCAGATCTCACTTCCATTCTAAATACTGAAATAAATATTAATTAATGTATTATCAAAAAATTAAAAAGTAAATTATTTCATAAACTGATAGTTCTAAATAAACTGTAAAACAAAAGAATATTAATTTAAAAGTAATGATATCCTAACTATTTGCTTGACAGAAATAAAACTAAATAAATCAAATAATTTAACCCTTGTTTTCATGATGTAGCGTGTCAAGGAATACGGAAGGTGATATTAACTGACTAAGGTCCCTGTTTTGAAAGACTACGACGACAGCTTATTAAAAGGGGGGACGAGTGTGGTGTGAGCTACTTATAAGTAGTATATAACGTGAGTGTCAACGTAATGCCTGGCAGCAGAAGATGGGGGAAGATCAAGAGAAAGGAAGAGTTAGAACACAATGGACTTTGTATGAAACGCATGAACAGTGACAATGGATTGATGTTGTTTGCAACAGGAACAGACCAGTTTGATTTGATGAACTGATATTTTGCAAATTAACAATTTACGATATGGTTTTCCAATTTTACTGAGTAACTCTGTAATTTTCGTTGAATACAATCAATCCGGTTCGCCCCACCTGTGCTTCTCGTTCACTACAATGTAACTTGAACACATTAGGATACGAAGCAAGCGACTTAAAGTTGCAATCACAGCAGTGTCAACTTAAGAAACTGTAAAAGTACATAGAAATTTTTTATTCTCTTGACATATTTCAGTTCAGGTAACTACTACTACTACTACAACTATTATTACTACTAGGAAGTATGAATGACCCTGAACACATAAAATGTAATTCAAAACCTAGTACATGAGTTATATCAAGGTAAACCTTTTAAATATATATGCCTATGATATACATGTAGTTAGTGTTTGTACTTATCGTCAAAACTATCATCAGTTCTTCAGTCAGTCAGTCAGTTGCAACGTAGAACTTCGTACGTATGTACATAAGTTCATGTTGCCATACCACATTAGCACAGAGACGCAGATATCAGTTCTTCAGCTCACTTATGATACAGTCAACCGACTTTCTTAGGTGTGATAATTATTTAAGATGAATAAAAACATGAGTGGAACGCACTTAGTAATACAGTTGGTCAGTTTCACAACTAATTGAATATCAATCAGAAAAAAAAATGAAATCAATTTGTAAACAATTAATTATCCACAGCAAAAATATTGAATTTCAACTTAATGACCTACTGATATCATGACCGTCAAGAGATTTAAAGGTATCCATCAAGAAAATGCAAGCTGGGATCAAAACAACAGCTCATGACTCAATTCATGAAGAAAATTAAATTAAATATGAACTGAGCGATTTAAACCTTACATCAAACTAGGAAGAATGACAATTTTATTATTTTCCAGAATAACGAGCATTTTATAGTATTTATAATATTATTATTATTCAATTTCGATACTCTCTACCCTGTTAAATTATTGTTCAGTTTATTGACTTGCTTTTTTTTCAAAGTTTTGAGCACACAGTTGATTGGACGTTTGTATTACTACTAAAAAAAAATATTTACAAATAATACAATCTTGAAGTATTTATACCGTTATGGTTGCAAAATCTCATTGTTTCGAAATATAACATTGCTTAATTTATTATTGTATTCTCTTTTCTGGTTGGGCCTTCATAAAATAACAAAATAGGTATGGACATAAAACTATAGTGCCTGGTGACGAAGATAATTAAAACAACTGTTTGGTTAAATATTCTTTGTTTTTTGAATTTCTAACTAAAATTCAAACTATTTTGTACCTCTCACATTTATCATAGATAATATTAAAATTGTCTTATTGTAAATATGTCTTACCGCTCCTCTGAAAATTTGAGTTGAAACTAGTAGGTTTGAAGCATTATGATGGTGAAATAGTAACAGAAAATAAAGAATACGTTGTAAGGTAAAGTTCACTTGTCTACCAGACAAAATTCAATACATCGTTGTTTTTCTTTTAATTTAGCATAACATGAAATAGCATGAGTAACATCTGATATAACTAACAACACATAATAAAAAACTTGAACACTTTAACAGCGAGGATTGATAAACTTTTTATTTGAGTGATGTTTTAAACATAATTCACAAAGTATTATTAGAACAAACTATTTAAATAATCTTTTTTAAAACTAGATCCACTATGCTTAGCTTTCTAGGGTTATTTCAACTTATTTTATGGTCACATCTTGTTAATGTCCTCTCGCTTACTGGCGTGAAATACGATGAAATGAGTTGATACAGATTTTTGCCAAGATAGATTGTTTATGCTTAACTTAGCAACCAACCAACTGACTACATACAACTCTTGATAGCATTAAGATTCAGAAGATAAAAGATCCCCTAGGTGCCAAACTAATTTACTTAAGGAAATTTTACTTATTTACAGTAGTGTTATAATTAAACTTGTGATAAATATAGATTAGATAGAACATTTAAAGTATGATTTTACCTAAACCCATAATATTAAATCCTAGCTTATAACACTAGTTATAAGAATATCATTGTGCACACTGAAACAATTGCACAATGAAGTGTAATAACCCGACAAGTTTAAAGATAAGCATCAGTACGTGGAAGACAGTGACTAGTGAATATTCATCCACCTAATATAAATACTGAAAAAATGCCGATCATTTACCTTAAATATCAGTAAAAAGCTAAGAATATGACTTGGTGCTCAACAGACTAATGTACTTGGTGGAATTCTAAAAAATGTGTTCCATGTGCTAATTATAGTTTAAAATAGTGTGCTTAGGTCTGCTGATAGATGAAGAAAACAATGCAACCTTATCTTGACTTTAATAAAAACATAAAACTCTAGATTTTAGCCATGCATTACTCTGTGAACGTTATTATTATTAACTTTCCTGGAGGAAACTGAAGACTCTAGTTGAAAAAATTAATGATCACGCATTAGGATTGCAATAACACTTATACAGACTGACAATAAAACTTGTTATGTGAAAAAATTAGTTTATACTGTTCAAGTGAACGCTATGAGTATCGTTAGGTCATGGAGAGTAACAAAATAGTAAAAACCTGTCAAGGATGTTTTTAAGGTACTCACGTGTTAACAGAGTTGATTCATGTGAAATAGTTGACTTGTCTTTTATGGTTGATTCAGAATTTGACTCAATCTGATGTGCTTGATTATCCATTGAATGCTAAAATGAAATGTCAATTGACGATCATTGATAAAACAGTGAAAAGCAGAGGTGAGTATTAGAAAATTTTTTGATAAGAAGTAGCTGGAGATTAAAAAGGTTAGACACAGTCATCCTACACCACCAGCATTTATTAAGTATGTGTTAAGCCTGAAGGTACCATCTATGTTGAAAAGATATGACAAGCAGTAAAACGTGCTTACTTTTAGTGGAAATAAGAAGTAAAAACAAATATAAATAACACAAGCATCAGACTAGGTAAAATGCCTAACTGCAACCAAACAGTGGTAACGCAAGGTTTAAAATACGCTGCCGAAAGTACGTTTCAATCGCGCGGGATTTAGTGACCAATATATTCTATATGAACCAGGGTAAACCAACTCACTTTTTACGCCATTTCCCTAACGTATTCCAATCAATAGATATTTACCATGTGCTCAATTAGATGGTGATACTGTTCCTCCCATAGTATTTGCGTAGTGATATTCAAAACAATTTTCAAATTTAAGGAAATTAGGAAATTCAAGACCAAACAACCAGTGTAGCGGTCAGCATCTAGCCAGTAGAAACTGTATTCTAGTGTAGGGTGCAGAACGGAGTAAGCTGGAAAAAGGAAGAACAAGAGAAAAGGTGAATATTGACTCAGCAGGCGCGCACAATATACCTACACTCAATAATACAAAGTATTAGCAACAACCCGCAACAACATGATACAGAATGCTTGGAAGCACACAAGGGAAATGCAACTCAATCTACTCGAAAACAGAATGGCGCAATCACCTCATAATCGTTCCCAACTTTTCAAAGTTTTCAATGATGTCGCAGCCTCTCTCCTTACAAGAGACGTAAACTTCCAGGAACGAGTGTAATGACGAGTAGCTAAGTGGGTGGTGGGACTAAAGAAGAAATCTTACGAAGACAGACTCCAACACTTGGAACTATTATGAGTCTTTGGAGAACGAGGGGTGATTCGATAATGAATTACAACATATTAGGCACACCAATTCACCCTAACGCAGGAAACTTACTAGTACACCACCACGCTCCTCATGGTTACCCTCAAAATATTGCACATCAAAAAGAAAGGAGCCTAGGCACGCATCGACTTGTCCTAATTGAGAAGCGCATCCACCAGGAATGCTTTTCTGGCCGAAGTAACTACAGCTTCCTTAGTGGATAGCTTCAAACAGACTTGAAAAACATGTACTCACCCATGGATTACTATCTCTCCCTCGGACCAGCCGTGCCTGATGCGTCTGGAAGCTTGTTTGTTGTTGTCATTATCATTATCTCAAATCGCTAAACTATTCTATCTCATTGGAATTTTCTCCTTAATGTTTTCTACATAGCAACCACTTGGTCTCCGGCCTAGAAGTGTGATGACTACAGGTATTCGGAAGACCGAGTGCCATGAGACAAACGCATTTATTCGAATAACAAGGCATACAAACACGTAAATAACTATCAAATTGACTAGAACTAGTGCGATCGAGTGGTTATACTACCACCTTTTGCACTTTACCAAATACCTGACCGTACCACAAAGACGAGAAGCGAGCGCGAAAAAATCAATCCAGTATCCAATATCTTTTTCACGAACGTACTTGTGTGTTCGCCCTTTGATGCGCAATTCCTCAAGGGCTACCTTGAGGGGTGTGGTTTTGGCAGGATGCTCATGCCGAGATGGATCGGCGTACTTGGTATATTGTATGTCATTATCATATCACCTCTGATTCTCCCATAACTCAGTGGGAATAATCTCAAGTGCTGGAGTCTGTCTTCGTACAGTTTATTCTTTAACCCTATCACTCATTTAGTTGCTCGTCTCTGTGACTTCGTCTGTGAGACGACGTTGTGAACTTCAGGATATGGCCCTGCGTTTGTCTCAAAAAGAGTTAAGAACAATTGTGAGGTGATTGCACCAAGTTGTCTTCACATAGAGTGAAGAGTTGCATTAGCCTTGGCTGCATCTCCTATATAGTTCGAAGTGGTGTTCGGGCTTTTTGTGGTTATTAGATCGAGATCGCGCTCTGAGAAGACATTAGGAAGCGTACTTCCACTGAGATTAAAATCAACAAGATTGTTAGAAATTACGTTGATTTGCAGAATATAATGATGAAGGCACAGTTATCTGATGCTTTGGTGATATTTGACTTATTGTTTCCTTTTTTCGCGAACACCATTGCTCAAGAAGTCACGAATGAGCTGTATTTCATCACGATTCCCCAGATCAGCTTTAGTAGGATTTCTTGTTTAGAAGTGAAACCAGTGCAAGGTTACAAACATGAATCGTAGACGTGATTGACCTGGAAACGCAACACCAATATCACTGCTACATCATAAAAAGCCTTAAACAAATGAAATGTTCTGCCACACAGACATGGGTGGTTTGAAGTTATCGGCCCAACGGAGTTCGGGCTGAAATATCTTCCATTACCGTACTTATGAACAGCTCTACGATTTGGTGGCTGAGTGGTGTCTCTAGTGCATTGATAATTATTATTAGTCTGTGTCTAGATGTTTGTTATACTTGTTCTTACAATCACTCCAATGAGTCTAATGGCACATTACGTGATATCGTAGTGGTGAACTTGTCCATCATAGTCGAGATATCCTCGGAATTTCGGTTCGAATTCTACTCATTTCTTTATTTGAGACTAAAGATTTAGCCTGCCCACATTTCCTTATTATGGCTGGAGAGTGTCCTGGTGTCCTAGACGTGTTCCGTGAAAGGAATTCAAGTTCATCCAGGTTATATCATATAATGCACTTAGAAGGACTAGTCTACCATTGATTAATTTTGGCTAATTGTATGCTGTTTTGTGACACATATTCAAGTAATTTACTGTTCGAACAAACTGGGTTAGAAAAGTAGGTGTTTTCATATTTCTTGATGACAGTCAGGAATCATATTTCACTTAAAAATTTAGTCCATAGTCTGATAAAGATCAACCGGGTGATTTATCGTAAATACATTCATTTCTTGTTCGGGATCTAGTATTCTTAATGGCATGAGGAGTTATCTTTCGTTGATTGTTCGCTTTTACACAGATATGCAATCTTGTCGCTTTTCGTCCTTTTATAGTAGATTGGCATGTTGTTAGGTCCGGAGTGACATTCATGTTTTTATATGGGATTGATGAGCTAATATCTTTACTCAAGTGAATAAATTGTTGAGAGTCTTTACAGCAGACAAATTTGAACGAGAGGTGAGTGATGATTTATAGGATTTATTTCTGAGGTGGATGACATGAAAACCAAGGGTTAGAATCCTACATGCTTGAAAGCACGTAACTCTTAGCTATTGGCCAACCTAGTGGAGAGATGAAAGGGTTGTCATGCGGAATATCAGAGAGTGATAGCGTAATTTGCTTATAGGAGGTGCAGGGTTCATAAGATGAAGGTACACGTTCGTCAGGCATAGGATTTACTGGTTTTGAGTTTTTGGACATTTCTCACATTAGAAGTTTTGCTAATGAAGAATTCGCTCAACCCCTATCGAACCAATGACCTTTGTTTGGGATACTACCACGAATAATCGCTTGCAAACAAGTTCAGCCTATCGCTTATTTGTCGTGAAAATCTTCCAGTCTCAATGGCAATTCACAGCATTAATCACACGACTATGAAGTACTACAGAATGGAAATAACTGTCTGTACATAACTACTGCACTTGCGATACAAAAGTGAGCCATAGTGAAGCAACCATTAACAGTAACATTTGAACGGCAATGATATACCGATAGATAACGAATTGATCGGAAACCTACAACTAGGACAATAAAAAACCAACACGATCCAAATATTTAATGAATGCGCTACAGAAGTAAACATACTAACATTCTATTGAGCAGTAATATTAGTTCAACTTCCCTCAATTATCTGCCTTTGTGTCACATATTTCACCTTGGAGTGGGCGTGGAATAACCAGTATTCGATTATGAATCGACATCGTCCATCATTAGCATCCATGCAAGAAACGCATCTCACATCCTAGCATATGGATATTAAATAACGGTGCTGAATGTTTGCCACATGAAGTAACTAGATTTGTAGTTTTCTTTATCTTGATGCAAAGCTTCTTGTTCTCAAGGTATTCTCTGAGCCAAGAATGAAGTCTATCAGTGAAGCCTATCTTCACATCCTTCGTAATTAGAACTGTCGGTAGTGACGCGATTGGTCTATGCCAGGCTCCATCTTTTCTATCCCTCCCTTTAAACATTGCAAAGAGAGTAGTTTATGTTGCTACGTCAATTAGTCTGGTATTTTTCCCATTAATTTTAACTCAGTATTCCACTAAGGTATTGTAACTCGAACTAATGAACACATTTTTCAGTTTCTATGTTGCTAATCGGCAATTTACTAGCTCATTTGGACCTACGATGTACATAATATTTAAATGTAGGAATTGAAAATTGCAATAGTATGTAACTTAGTAGCATTCGGTTACAATGTTTCACTGACGTCAAAACTGAAATTAGGGAACTAGCGCAATATACGAACCGTAGCGAAACTTCAAGCCTTTGACTTTGATAAAGCTAACACGTAACGAGATGAAACGCCTAGCATTAGCACCAGAGACACACGTGTCACATAATCAATTTGTTATAACGTGATAAAAACAAGCAGGAACCGTGATTTTATAAACGAACTAATTGCAAGGTCATCAGAATTCTTGGTAATAAGACTATTGATCTTCTTTGAATTACGGAGCATGTTTTGACATTGGTTTGTCCACTTTAGTGTGGTCAGCCTAATAATCTTACAGAATCGAAAATACGAAAAACATTATCTCCAAAGCTGAAAACACAAAACATCTAAGTGATTGCTGTATTGAATCAATTAAATTCTGAAAGCGTGTACAATCATTTTATACGTAGTGTGGCAGATTTTCTACTCTTGCAGTTCGTTCGGGCTCGAAAAGTGTAGGTTGATACGCGTTGACCCAGTCAGGAACCAAAAACACGATAATTCTGAGAGAAAACGGTTCTATAAAATGATAAAAATGGAAATACAGACAATTACCAAAACAATATTACACCTTCGAGTTTCCAATTACCACAATGGGTTCCGTTTCTAGAAGAATAAGTGCTTCCAGTCCGTTACTGCTAGAGTATCAAATTCAAAAATGGCTGTAGCCATATCAAATATCAAATTCAAACAACATATGTACAGTTCAGAAGGAAACATAAAACTTCAATATAAATACAAGATATAGAAATAATAACAATATGCAATGATAAAATCTCAAAATGGAATCAAATAGAGTACCAAAATGTCAAC